TGCGGCAACCGGTTTAGCACATCGTCCCAGTTAGACATCGGAGGCATCTTTGGCGGCTCGAAATTTGTCAACTGAGGCGAATTTGGCAATGATTAATGTGGCCAATTAACATGCGAGTGCAAGTGTAATATTGTGCCATGTTGAGTAGTGTTGCGGTCTGCTTGGGGTTGTGTAAATGTGCCTGTGTGTGGTGTGTGTTGTGTCTTTGTGTGTGTGAGTGCTGGTTGTGCTTGTGAGGTGCCTGATGTGTGGCCTGTGGTAGACCAGAAGACGAACTAATTAATTTAAATTAATTAAATGGCGTCTGCGATGCGTGTGATGTCCTTGCAATCAGGCAGGCAGAAGCCACAGTCCAATTGGAATGAATATATGTATCTCTGCCTGTGAGCTTTGAATCCCATTTAAATCTGATTGGCTAAGCCAAAAGCGTACGTAAATATAATCATAATAAAGCATTCGATAAAAGAACATGTTGCTAATTAATGGCGTTATAAAATTATCTGAAACAAGATGCTGCGATAAGTTCATTAATTACCGTTCATTTAAAACGGGAATCCAAAATTTCACTCGAAATATATCTTATATATATCCCATTTCAATTTGTTCATAGATAGAATCACGTTTGGCGGTTTTATTATAATCATTTCCTTCGGCCATAAATACCGAATGTCTGCAAATATCGCAAATCTGAATAACAAATCAAATTCGCTAGCATAAATTAACTTGATTGATAATTTCTGGGTGGGTTTCATTGAATAAATTATTGGCTAAGAAATTTAAATATTGTAAGATTTCCATCACATCAAAAAGTTGACCAAGTCTATGTGAATAATTTATAATTTATTTTATATCTACATATGAAATATCCGTTCATAAAAAATAAGGGGCATATGGGAAAAGATTTGCTAAAAAGTTATTATTTGGTTCATTTAGAACCGATTAATATTTAAACATGAATTTTAGACTTTACATATACGTATATAGGGTATCTACGAGTCTCCTACTGCATATTCTTTGCACACTCACTTATTGACTTTATTTTGTCTCTTATTACGAGAGAAGAGCAATAAACCGAATGTCATAAAACAAAAACGGTTGGCCAAATTAAAAAATACAGCTCATTAAAACAAATTGCAACGGCAATTTCCAAACAAAAAACGTTTCACGAGCGACTCTTAAATGCTGAAGACCAGTATATCGGTTCAGCCGGGCAGCAGCAGGACATTAATCAGCACGAAAGCTGATTTCGAGCTCAGTGAGTCTGGTGCTTGGGCTTAGGCTGCTTTTCTTACACAGCCAGTGGCTAATGCAAAATCGATGACCAAATTAACTTCCCGGGAGGTGGCAATTGGCAATTGGCCTTGCAGTTGGCCCACAAAAACACTATGCAAATTGGCAAGATGCTAGACATTTATTGAGTTCACTCACATAAAATGCAATTGAAATGCTCTAACTATTTGCCCTCGCTTCTATTTGCTTTGCAGGCCGCACGATGTCGTCCTGTCTGCGCCTGCAGTTGGCGCTCGGCGTCCTGGTGCTCGCCCTGACTGGTGTGACGGTGCGCGGCGAGGTGTACACAGCGCTGGCGGAGATGGAGGAACTGCTTGAGACTGAATCCGTACTGATAAGCAATCTGGAGGGCTACATACGCGTGCAGGAGGACAGACTGAGCTATCTGAAGAAGTGAGTACCGAGCAGGGACAACCTCTGCTAAGTCGCTTTTCATAAATCAAGCGTGCATCGAGTATCTCACAGCTGCATTTGCAGGCCTTTGAGATACCTATATAAACTCAAGTCGTTGATAGCTGTCATTTCAGTTCTCTTGATTTCTTTTGAGCACAATTGTGTAAGGGTAGAAATATGTTCAGGCTACTGCAGTATGACCAATGCATTTTGCATATGTAGTGCAGTGTAAAAAGTAAGAAAATGAAACTCTTATGATACTCACATTTCAATAAGAGGAATATTTATTTAATCACTTAATGGCAGAAAACATTTGTATTTATTTTTGGTTTGGTATTTATTAGCTTAATAAGAATTATTATATTTATAAATTGAAGAGCACAAATTTGTTTCGAATAAACTTTAGCCATTTACTTTTTAATGTTATTTATTAAAAACTCTGCTGAAATTCAGTTATTAAATTTTATACATTTTTGATTTTTGTTGTTCCAAATTGAACGAATTCTTTAAATTGAAGATTTATTGCATATATTTGCAATACATATGTAGATCAAAATAAATATACGTATAGATAGAGTATGTAGCATTCAAACTCTAACCACAGTTGAAGTTGAATGGTTAGGTGTAACTGTTGTTAATATTGAAGAGATATGAACATGTATGTGTGAGATGTATGCTGACTGTGGCCAATGCGGTAGTAAGTTTGTTTATGTCTTCGTAAAGCGAGTTAATTGTTTGTGCTCTGATGATATTCCAGTTGAGAGGTTTTATAAGCTGTTTGTATGGAGTGAGAGGGTAGACGGCATTCGTGGCATTTGCGTGTGAGAGGGTTAAGTTTGAGTTGAGTATGTGATTGTGTTGTTCTTCGATGTTGTTATGAGAGCTGGTGCTGAGCTAATGCTGTCCACTTGCGTGTAGTTGTAGCTGGTTGGTGTATATATATATATATATATACATATGTATATAGTGCAGTTTCATTAGCAGCTGAATAACTCGTAATCACAGAGATTGTAGAGCACAAGGCAATAGGGCACGAACAAAATATATTCGGAGCATTTTGTGAGCAGGTGAAAAGGGCTTTGCAAATGCCTATATATAATTATCCATATATAAGCAGGTAAATTAGTTATATATTATATGTGTATAGAGTATATTCTTATATATGCGGAGCACTAGGAAAAATACTTAAGCAAGCTCCCATTAAGTCTTAATCAGCTCGCTCGAGATCTTACAGAGCTGACTAGTCTATTCCCTCTTTCTCTTAATTACTCAACCTAGAGATGGATGTAAAAGACACATTCTTAGCGCCTACCGAATATAAGCATGCAAATAAACTGAAGTCAATGCATCTTAATAAGGTTTCAACACTTTTTGCTAGTCTTCCTATTATAAGATACCATAAATAATTACAGCAAACCATAAATAAACAAAATCCATATATATTATAATGCATAAATCACATATAAGCATATTACAACTACAACAACAAGTCCATAGAGAGCAGACATTATGCAGCATATTTTAATTGTGAATTTATATAGGTAACCAAACTTATATATTCGTCAGGCAATTACTATTTCATGGCCAACTTTCGAGTAGCTCGAGTGCAGAGTACTCAGAAGCAGAAGCACGCTCGACTAAATCAATCTAGCTCGTATAATGTGCTGTTTATGTAGATGAGGGAGCATAAACTACTAGACATACATTCATAGCTAGCGGCAGGTGAGGCTGTGAGGTACGCTCATAATTACAGTGGCTGTCGCCAGTATTTTAGCCACGTGCGTGTGGCAGCTGTTGCATCTGCAGAAAACGGGCGGCAGCATAAGTGTCTTAAGCACACACATGTACATCTACATCTACATCTACGCACATATAGATAAAGATGTACGTGTGTATGCCTGTTCTCTTCTATTTATGCGGCGCCAAAGACACAGCGAACGCTATTTACTCTGCATATCTTGAGCTACCCCTGGCGCACATACATATGTCTGCTTATATACTCGATTATACGTTTGTGTGGTAAATGATTGTTGGCCCTGCGTGCAGCGGAAGGACGTAGATGCAGGATAAAGGGCACAGCGGATGCGGTAGGGCAACTCCCCTAATCAAATATGCCAGCAGAGAGAGAGAGAACAGCAGGAGCCCAAGCAGGATCTATCTTATTTACTGGATCCGCTGCTGCGCCCCTCTCTACCCTCGTCTTTGCGTCTGGCAAACGCAAAGGGACAGCGCCGAGGGGGGCTGCCAAAACAGCTGTCAGCTGTTGTTGAAGATTTTTGTTGTCATTGCACCACAGTCGCATCCTTGCAGCTCTGCGCCTCTGCACCTCAGCCTCCGCATCTCTGCCGAGTCATGGCGCGTGCCACAAACTATTGGCTGCTGCGCGCTGCCAGCAAATTAAAATTTAATACCGAGTTAAATTTTTCCATTTGGCAGCAGTTGAATTCGCCGGCATTTCCCAGCGCCAACTGCCAACTGCCGCGCCATGCTTTGTTTTATTGTTAACGACGCGAGCGCCTTTTGCACGCTGAATGTCAATGCACCACATTTTACTATAAACAGAAGTGGAGCCTTGGGGGCCGACTGCCGTCTGCCGTCTGCCGTCTGCTGTCAGCTGTCAGTTGTCCTTGCAGCATCAAATCTCGATTTGATTTGTTGTTTTTTGCGTTCGTCTCTCGCTGCCTCTGGGCCGAAATCCAATTAAGTTGGCCAACATAGATAAGCCACACACACACACACACACATGCAGCGCTAACAACTGCACGCCGTGGTGGGTGTTTCGGCTGACACTATTGACTCTCGATAAGCGCTCGCACCACGAATGTAACGGTCGCTTGAGCCAGGGTAGCGAGCTTCTTATATACATATACAAATATGTGTATGTATATGTGCATGAGCATATAAAGGCGTCGCCTATTTCGCTGTTATGAATTGTGTAAATATAAATTCAAAATGCTGATAAAACGACTTGCAATGCCGGCTGCGGCATAGTCGAAATTCGTTTCAACCCTCATGAGCAGCAGCAGCAGCGGCAGCGGCAGCAGCAGCGGCAGGAACAGGAGCAGATGTTTCCAGCACAACGGAACGCGCCAAACGACGCCTGCCGCTGTTGCTGCTGCTGCTGCTTTTGTTATTGTTGTTGTTGTTGTTCCAGAGTTGTCTTGAGCTCAATTATTGTGTGCATGTTTCAGTATATAAGCCAAGTAAATGGTTATATTTTATTCAAAGGGGGGGTCACAGCAACGCACGCGTCGCTGCCGTCTCTGCCGATCCACTCGACTGCGCGCCGGCGCAGGAAATTGCTAGTCGAGGAGCGACTGACAGCTAGCGTCGCAGTTCAGTCGAGTCGTAGTTGTCGTGCCGTGCGGATCACTCAAGCAGTTGCAGTTGAAACCGTCGAGATCAGTGAATACAGTGAACACTCCCAGAACACCGCCAAGTACAGTGCGCGTGCATCATGTCGAGGCACAACTATACGAATCCGGCCTTCTGCCAGAACAGCGAATTCTATCCGGTGGCGTCCAACAATTGCGTCGAGTCCATTTACAATCGCAGCCTGCAGTTGAACTTCAATGCCGTCTCTCGCACCGCTCAGCCACCGGCCGCGGCCTGCCGCGACCCGCGCGAGGGGCCCTTGCGCATGCAGCGTAGCATGTCGACGCGATCGGTGACGCGTAAACAGTACCAGCAGCAACAGCAGCAGCAGCAACAGAAGCAACAGCAGCAACACAAGCAACAACTGCAGCAGGAGCAGCAGTCTTCGAGTGGCCGCTATGCCTTGGTGCCACTGGAGGATCTAGGCGCCGTGGCCAGTCGCTATGCCATTGTGCCTGGCCAGGCGGCGCAGCGCTTGGCGCGCTCGCAGGACAATCTGGATCGGTATGGCTCGCGGCAGGGCCTGCAGTCAGACGAGGAGCCGCACTCCTTTCACGAGGAGCCGCAACAGCAGCAGGAGACGCAGTTCGCCAGCCTGCCGCCCACACTGAACGCGCCGCCGCCCAAGCCAGCGCCCAAGATCAAGCACGCCTTCTCCAGCGACTTTGGCAGCAAGACCTTCCTCATTGTGGACAAGAACAGCAACCAGCGCTATCAGATGGTGCCCACAGCGGAGGATGAGGAGCTGGTGGACGAGAACCAGGAGATCATACAGATGCACAATGGACGGGCGCATCGCTATGCGGTCATACCCACGGAAGCGGATGACGACTACTTGGCGGCGGAGGACTCGGCGCAGGCGCAGCAGGAGACCTGCTTGAGCAACACCGAGCTGAATCAGCCATTCAACATGCGTACATCGACCCCGCAGCAGCGCAATGCGGCAGCTGCCACACGAGCGCTGCACGAACTGCTTACCACACCCCGCAAAATGCAACCACCACCGCGCCTAGCCCATTCGACGCCGCGCAACGCTGCCCACCACGAGCAGCTGCTACGCGAGCGTCAGCTACAGCTCTACCAGAGCCAGCAGCACATCAGCCTCCACCAGCAGGCCACCACCACCACCGTCTCAGTTGCGCCGTCGCCGGCGCTGCCGCTGCGCCAGCAGCGACTCTCGCCGCAGCGACTGCACTACGAGACGGTGAAGCCGGCAGCGACGGCCACAGCTCAACAGCAGCAGCTGGCCAGTGACCGCACCACGGCAGTGATTAGTCCGCGTGTGCAGGGCCAGGAGCTGGATCTGAGCAGCGTCCATGGCAAGTCGAACATCAACAACAACTCGTACCCACAGAAGCTGGCCAATGCCACCATCACGCTGGCCATTGTCTCGTTGATGCTCGTCCTGGGCAGCACCATGAATGCCGGCCTCATCATCTACATGATCGCCCATGTAAGTGTGCTCAAGTCTGCGACTCGCTCCCATCGATCCTCGACTTATTTCCCACCTTCTCTACTTTAGCTCGGCAAGTCATTCTACCTGCAGTTCGGACTGGTTGCCTCCTTTTGCGGCATGGGCCTTGGATTTCTAGGCTTTCGCTCGCGCCACTGCGAGTGGCTGCCGAACCGCAGCTACACCTCCGGCTACATCCTGGTCACCATCTTCTGCCTGTTCAAGTGCTGCGGCCTGCTGCTCATCCTGGTGCTGGACCCGTTTCCGGGACTGCCGCTCCACGATGTCACCACGGGCGTCATCCTGGGCCTGTCCACCTTCACCATGTTCTTCATCGGCCTGGGCGTCATTGGCAGCCTCTGGTGCTATCGCCCGCCGCCAGACAACCGCGTCAATGTGGTCTAGACGCTGTCTGCTGTTTGTTGTCTTAGTCTTAATCTTAGCCTAGTTCGTAGCAATTAATCTTAGTCTTAGTTTCTCTCTATTCTTTTTAGCGAGCGGCATCCGCAACGGCTAGGAGACCAAAAAAAGTATTCGTAATTGGAGACGTGTACGAAATTCCTGCACTGAATTTTTCAAGACTGTAAATATCGCAGCATGGGGCGCGCCTTGAGATAAATGGGTTGTAATTAGTTGTAAGGCATCAGCATTTGTTTTAATAATTACTATCTAAATTATTGTCTATGATATTGTTCGACATTTTGCTTAAGATTTGCACATACAATAAAGTTATTCAACAATCGCACACAACTCACACTTTTGTACTTTTCTGCTGAAGATTTTAACTCAATTATTTAAGGCAGGGAGAGCTCGCGTGCTCTACCGGGCTGACTGCCTTAATTAGTTCTCTGGGCTCATTTTATTTTTTATGTTTTATCCCGAACTCTAATTTTAATTCGTATTCTTACCAAATTCCCTTCCTTTAGCCTAATGAACCATTATTCATTTAATTAATCTTGAATGTGTTTTGTCTTGCTTCAGCTCTCATTAACTGTCATCTGTTTCTATTTGCATTCATTTATCATTTTCATTTAAACTTTATACTTTTGCCGAGACTTTTCTTTAAGTTTTACATTTTTAACTCAAATCAATTTATTTGTTTAGTAATATTCCTTTAATATAAAATTTAAATATTTTAATGAAAATAATATGGCTTTGAATTTTGTAGATGAGGTAGAACTACCAAAATACCTGTTGAATTTCTCTTAAAATTTTAATTTTATTATACTCTGGACAGTTTTTAATCGTAATAGGTATAGTGAGTTTGTTAAGATGTATATAACAGAGAGAAGGAGTCCAGACAGTATATATCTTTGTTTATTTGCTATTATGATTTTTTATTCATTTAATTTATTTTTTAATTACATGTTTATATATTTATATATTTTTTTGTATTTATGTATTACCTATTTTTAACTTCTTTTCGAAATATTTCTTTATGTACTTATTTTACTTTTTTATATATAATTTTTTTTTTATATTATTATTTATTTATTTACTTTTATTTATGAAAATGTTTATAGCAAGAACAGTTGAAAACTGGGTAGATCTAGCCATGTCCGTCTGCCCATCCGTTCTTCCGTACGACTGCCCGTCATGAAAACTAAAGAGGCTTTAAAAATTAAATGTATATTTCTGTATTTCATTTCCTCATACTAAAATTGATATTACACTCGAAAAACTTGTTTCAGAGAGTTCCATTTAAGCAATAGGAATTGAATAAATATGTTGGCATAGTAAAGCCCACAAGTGCAGACCAAACACAGATGCTGCGTACAAACAGAGAACGCGCTGTGTGTGTGCGGGCATTATGAAGAGTCGGTCACTCTAGAGCACCCTTACTTGTTTACTCTGATAAAAAAGAAACTCATATATATATATTTTTAATTCCCTGACTAGGAAAAAACAAATTCACTTTAACTTGTATTACGATTATGAGAAATTCTGTGCCCGCCTCAGGGCTCGCATTTCACTTTGATTTGTCACATGATATCGAAATTGAAATAAATCAATAAATATGATTTTGCTATTGCAATGCTGTATCTATCGAATTCGGTGTTTTTTCTTTATGTTGCTTTGACCTCCAAAAAACTTTTGCAGTGTGCCAAAAAGTTTTTAGAGTGGGGCTTCGGCTGGGTTTTAAGTTTCATTGATGGAGAAAAATAAATATTAAATACAAAACAGTTTGCAGTCTGGCTGGCTTCATAAAATTAAAAAACTTTTGGAATGTACTCAGCTTTAATTTCATTAATTATAAATAAAACGAACATTTTGCAGCATCAACTTTACAAAGTGTTTGTTTGATTTACGCCCGAGCTGCAGTGCAGTTTGTGGCAAGCTTCGAGGGCGTTACGAGACAGATGTAGTCGTAATTAAGTTTGCGATGGCTTAAACGTAATCAAATTGCTTATTAAACTTTGTATAAAACTTTGTAACTCTCTCTCTCTCTCCCTCGCTCTCTCTCTCTCTCTTTCTGCACTCTAGCAAAATGGATGAATACCAAAGAGAGCATGCAGATGCAGCTAGCGATATAACCGCCTACGTATCGAATCCAATCAATGCGTATTTACTGACCAAGCGTCTGACCACAGACTGGCGGCAGGTGGAGAATCTGATGGCACACGAAGTGGGCGCAGGTGGGTTATCTCGAACTGAGAGAAAGTTTGTAATCCGATTTGAATTTGATTTGTTTGCTTTGCTCCACTCAAAAGATTTTGTGCAGAACCTCACGCAATATCGCAATGTGCTGAAGTTTCCCTCGGACGAGGACCTCAATGGGGCGGCTGTGGCGCTGCTCCGCCTGCAGGACACCTACCAGCTGGACACGTCTAGTCTAGCACGTGGCAAGCTGAACGGCATACAGTACAGGTGAGTGTACGCAAATGTAAATGGGAAATAACTTGGATGGGGACTAATCTGCCTGGGGCATGCAATATTACGCAGCACGGCAATGTCGTCGGATGACTGCTTCGAGTTGGGCCGCCAGTCGTACGTTAATCGGGACTACTACCACACGGTGCTCTGGATGAACGAGGCCATGGCCCGCATGCTGGAGGAGCCGCATAATCAAACGCAAAGCTTCACACGTGCCGATGTCCTGGAATACCTCGCCTTCTGCACCTACAAGCAGGGTAAGTTCATGCATGGGGTGTACGGAGTACGTGTCCATCTGTTAATGGCCATTTTGGCTGCTATTGTTGCTGTTGCTGCCGTTGGCAACAGACGTTCGTATGGGTGTTTACTGTAGTTCTTATGTTGTGTCTCGACTCGTTTGCATGACACTTTCGACACCCCTTGACAGCAGGGCCACAGCCACAGTCACAGCCGCTGAGCATTTTTACTGCATCTCTCTGCCACCTGGCCATTTGACAGCAGGAAATTGCACTTTGCTGGCCCCTTGCCAGCTGAGCCCAGCCCAGCCGAGCCAAGCAGCACTTCTCCGGCGATTAAGCCCGACGCTCGTTAAGTGCGAAAAATTGTTGCCTGTCTGCAGGAGCAATGACAATATTGTGACTGACTTAGTGCCGTAGTTGTAGTTGCAGTCGTTGCCTTTGCCGTTGCTTAAGCCGTGCAGCCGTCGGATATAAACAGAATCACGTGCCTACTGCAGCACAGCAAGTGCACGTAATTGCGCAAACAGAAGTGCGGTTTATTAATGTCGCATTACCCCCTCACGTATCCTTAAGCTTATGGCAAATGCTCCCTCCGTCCCCTGAGCCCACTGTCTCACATTCATAAGTCAACACAATGCGTGACTGGTTGTGTTTATCTATCTGTATGTGTATGTATGTCTGTATCTGTATCTATAGCAGAATCTCTATCCGCCCTAATGGCCGATGTGAGCTGCCTTTGCTATATACCCAATTTTATAATGGCTTGTTGGGCTTGAAAGTTTAGCATGCTTTGCTATGGCTGCAGTTGAATGCAGTTTTTCGGAATTTGATTGCAAATTTATTTCTGAAATTTAACTAATTTAAGTGGTTCTAAAAGTCTACAGAAAATAATAAACTGATTGCTTGAATTATTACATTTTACATTTTAGTACAAATATCAAATTTAATTCTCTTATTTGTTTATTTAATTTTTTTTAATTTTTTTTTTTTTTGTTTACAAATATTTGTCATGTAATAATATTTTTTTTTTTTTTTTTCAATTTATTAATATATATTTTTTATTATTATTATTTTTGTCTCGCTTAAATCTATTTTTTTTTTTTTTTTTTTTTTTTTATTAATTTGAATTTTAAATACCTGTTTTACTTAAATGAATATTATTATTTTGAGCTCAGCTTGGGGCTTTTGTTAATCGTTCAAAATAATATGCAAACAAATATAGAGAATGAAAATATTCAGAATTTATAAAATTCTACAAGCAAATTGAATATTAAGACCAGAAATATCCACTCGAGCTCCTAACTGCATCGACATCCTTTCAACAGAGTATGGCACAGCCTTAAGCTTCCGTTTTTCTGTTTTTTGTTTCTTTCCTCCGTTGTTTGTGTGCTGCGTAAAAAACTGACTTCGCAGTATTTGTGGGCGTGCTGCGCTAAACGGAATTGCTGCCATACTGCAGAAAAAATGCAAAAAAATACAAAAAAAAAAAAGAAAAACAATTGCTGTTGCAATGCCATGCCACGCCCCCGGTTCAGTTGCCACCTCCGCTGTCGTACACCTACCGCTGACACAGAAATCCCGTTGCCGTCGATCAGCCGAGGGCACCCGTGTCAGCATGGCTGCCATTGGCAAGCAAAATGCAAATTGAAGCTCTCAGCCAGGTCGGGATTGGAGGCGACCGAAATTTCATTGAAAGTAAGTGCGCCGCTTAAAGTGTCTGGCAAACTAATTAAGAACTCGCCGCTGAGCGACTGCCGAGGCAAGGCTGGGCCATAAATAAATGTGAATAATTTCGATGACCATGCTAAAAGTTTTACAAGAAAAGGTCCTGCTGGGCCTGAAGGTCTCTAAAAAGTTTTTCTGCTTTAGTTGTTTTTCGGCCATTGCATATAAGAAACTTGAACTTATTTGCTGGCCATTTTTCCACACGTTGTGGGCTGAGCGGGGGGGGGAACTGTGCCTATGAATAATGTATGATGCGTTTAACATTTGTCAGGCTGCGATGGGGGCTCAAGCCTTCTTTATTATTAACTTCCCTCTGAAAATTCATTGAAATGTTTGTCCTCGGAGCGTTGCTAACTTTCAGGCGTCGCACTAAATAGTGATACGAAATGCAGTTGGCATGTTGAAGTGTCGCTTATTCACGAGTGCTCACTGTACGCCCATTGTTGAGAGCTTTTGATTGATTACGAGCAATTAGAAGTCAAGGTCGCCGGCAACGAAAACTGTTGCCTGCTTTTAGGCATAGTAATTAATTCAGTCTTGTCTGCTCTACTCTCTCACCTGTCCCTCAACAATGGAACCTGAAATTGGCTTTGCAATTGAAATTTGGGCATGCAGGCAATGTGGAGAGCGCACTGACCATGACGAACGAGCTGCTGCAACTGCTGCCCGACCACGAGCGGGCCAATGGCAACAAGAAGTTCTACGAGAAGGAAATTGCCCAGCTGAAGGAGAAGCTTAAAGTGAAAGGGGACGATGGCTCCGATGCCACGCCCGTTTCCGATCTGGTATTTACCCTACAAGTCTTTGTTAGTTAGTGCTTTCAACTATCCTCTCTTTGTTGTCCAGCCCGTGGTTAAGAGCGATCCTGGCGTCTTCGACATGACTGAGCGCAAGGCCTACGAAATGCTGTGC